TGTAAAACTTTGGTCATAATAAATACTGCAGTGGCTCAGAACAAACACTAATGGAAGGTATCATTCTTGGAATAAATAGCAGGGGCTGACCAGCACAAAAGTGGACAGAGAATGTCAAAGACAAGTTGAGAGTGTAGATGCATCAGGTAGAAGATCTAATGTAGGACTAAAACATTTCATAGCAGGCTGTGGTGAGAGTGATTCTTGATAAAAGACTTGCTACACATTGGCAATCAGAGCCCCCCCCCCCCCCCCCCCCCCCCCCCCCTAGAAAACAGAACTCACCACACAAAAAACCTGATGATGACGTCTATGACTCCACCATTGCCCTGAAGATAATGTCTATGACTCCACCCTTGCCCTTTGAAGACTATGAGTTCTTTTTCCAAACTAATTCATGAATGCAGTGCAGGCTTCTACTACATGTGATGCTCTTGGCAAGCACCGCAGGGCTTATTTTACATGTGATGCTCTTGGCAGGCACCGCAGGGCTTCTACTACATGTGATGCTCTTGGCAGGCACCACAGGGCTTCTTCTACATGTGATGCTCTTGGCAAGCACCGCAGGGCTTCTACTACATGTGATACTCTTGGCAGGCACTGCAGGGCTTGTACTACATGTGATGCTCTTGGCAGGCACCGCAGGGCTTCTTCTACATGTGATGCTCTTGGCAGGCACTGCAGGGCTTCTACTACATGTGATGCTCTTGGCAGGCACCGCAGGGCTTCTACTACATGTGATGCTCTTGGCAGGCACCGCAGGGCTTCTTCTACATGTAATGCTCTCGGCAGGCACTGCAGGGCTTCTACTACATGTGATGCTCTTGGCAGGCACCACAGGGCTTCTTCTACATGTGATGCTCTTGGCAGGCACTGCAGGGCTTCTTCTACATGTGATGCTCTTGGCAGGCACCGCAGGGCTTCTTCTACATGTGATGCTCTTGGCAGGCACTGCAGGGCTTGTACTATATGTGATGATCTTGACAGGCACTGCAGGGCTTCTTCTACATGTGATGCTCTTGGCAGGCACCGCATGGCTTTTACTACATGTGATGCTCTTGGCAGGCACCGCAGGGCTTCTACTACATGTGATGCTCTTGGCAGGCACTGCAGGGCTTCTACTACATGTGATGCTCTTGGCAGGCACTGCAGGGCTTCTTCTACATGTGATGCTCTTGGCAGGCACCGCAGGGCTTCTTCTACATGTGATGCTCTTGACAGGCAAAGACCAGGCCACATACAACTCAACAGAATTAAGAAAATTCTCTCACTTTTTAAAGACTAGAAAGTAGTGGGGGTGGAATAAAAAGGATGGGGGAAAGGGGAAAAGGGGGAAGGGGGGGGGGCTGAAAGGCTAAAGAGCTATCCTCTATAGAAGATGGGGAAAAAATTGAAGTCCTTTGTCCTTGAACTTGTTCAGCCATATCTGCCATGATGTAAGCTTGACCTTTCAATTAGTGATTAGAAAGGATGATCATCACAGCACTCCAGACAGATCCATAGATGCTCCGGACAGATCCATAGGTGCTCCAGACAGATCCATAGATGCTCCAGACAGATCCATAGATGCTCCGGACAGATCCATATGTGCTCCGATCTCCTCCTCAAAAGCTCCACAAGTGTAAAACGACTGATGACGCCTGTTCTGTGTTTCAACTATTACTAGGAACATTTGTTAAAAATGATTGATGCAATGTTGCAAACATCTGTGAAGATGTTATGCACTAAAATAATTTACTAAAATCACTGTAAGGATGTAATGATTCACTTAAATCGTTTATAACAAATCGCATGCAATTAGTGATGTTATAAGTTTGACACAACTGAAGAACTTGAAAAAAAATAATACAAAAGTATATTAAGTTGACTGTTTTATACAAAACATCACAGATACTGCAGGTGATCATATTTAACAGGCAAGAAATGTCTGTTTGAGAGTGCGTGTGTGCGCACATGTGGGTGTGTGTGTGTGCGTGCGTGCGTGTGTTTACTGTGCAACATTCATGCACACAAAACTGAAACTGATCTTTTCAAAGTATATTATCTATCAGATAGGACACTGTGTGGCAGTCTGTTGTCTTGGGACATTGCTGAAGAACAGTAACTGTTTATTTCCCCAAGCCTGGCATTAATGTTCTGTGTTTGTTTTCCCCCAAGTTTACACACACGCACTGTCCACAGTTTACACACACTCACTGTCCACAGTCTTTTAAGCAGCCTTTCAAAATCAAAAGATTTGTATCTTCTTCTTTTTGTTCATCCAAGTGACATAATCAAGCAACATAATTGTGTTGTGCCCGTTTACAGCAAAGCTGCGATATTTGTGCCTTTTGGTCAGAACATCCGGCTTCCTCTAGCATGTGTTGACCGGGTTAACTTTCTGGAAAAAGATATGTATAATTGTGTCTTCCCCTTCCCCTTGCTAGCATATGAATGTCTGATTACTTTCCTTGGCCTAATCTGAAAATAAGTCCCGGACACAAAATTAAGATATGTTTCAATAATTGTTACAATTAAGGAAGCAGATCAGGGAAAGACAGGAGATAATGGAAGTGATTAGTATTTCGCAGATCTTTCGTTAAATTTGTTTGTTATTCATCAGTCTGGGAAATATTCAGTCTACAAAGATAGTTTTGCAGACAACACATTTGTGATGAATCTGGCACATTTCTGGCAACCTTGATTAATTTTATACATTACTTGTTAGTTTATTATCATGAAATGAATGATTTGGCAGTGTGTCATAATTGTTGAAATGTGGCAGGTGCAGAATTGATGAGAAATATTGCTGGTCTCCTGCTAGAATGTTAACACAAGGTAGAATGTTAGCAAAAAGCAGCACGTTAAAGTGAGGTAATGTTAGCACAGCCTAAAATGAGAACAAAATGTTAAAATGAGAGCATAAAGGAAAGAACACTATAAAAATAAATAACACAGAATAAAACACTCGCCTCAATCACAGAATTCTTGTATCATAATTTTTCCAGCAAAGCCAACAAAGATATGTATACAGAAGAACTGAAAGAGGAAATATACATAATTAAATATGTTGTACAGCATAGACATCCCAGTAGATGAACCAAATAGGAGGTTGAAACAGAATAAACAGCAAAGAGTTTTGACTAAGCAACAACTGTTTACCAGTGCTAACCCAACAATGCTGTTACAGTTCAAACACTGGAGCAACAACCAACATTTAACAGTCAAATTAATACATCTTCAAGGGAACCCACAAAAATCACTTTAATTCATCATCATTAATTTCCCACGTCTCCAGCAGTGGACAGGCGTGATTGCACGTCATTAACAAGTACTCATGCAGGTAAAATAATTCACAATAATTGTACGAGAATAAATTCTGGTCTATCAGAACAATAATTTAAAATTAATTCTGAATAAATGAAATCACAAAATAACAACCAATTTTTAAAATGCAGTTAAGGACCACACATTTAAAAGTAGCCACTACACTGAAGCAGTAAATGTTTTCATTTCCTTGCAACTTTGGGATCAATGAAGCTGACAGTAGAAGGTTGAAGAGTCTTGGACATCTCGATCGAGGGCATTATTCTAGTTCCTACTGATCCCCGAGGATGACCATGGTATGACTGCTCCTGGACAGACATCAGTAGTATCATCACAAACACCGTTATCGCAAGAGAACAAGGTAGACTGAGAGGACCGGCGGACAATGGGCGCATTTCTTTTAGAGTCACTGACTGGTACGGAAATATGTGGCAACATGCCGAACATATGAGGAATTTATCCCTAAAGGTGGTTGGCACGAATGACACCAGGTGGGGGATGGAAGATGGCTAACACCAATGGGTTGACATCAGGTGGCTGACACCATGGGGTTGACATCAGATGGCTTGCACCAAGGGGTTGCCATTAGATGGCTGGTACCAAGGGATGACATCAGGTGGCTGGCACCAAGGGTTGACATCAGGTGGCTGGCACCAAGGGTTGACATCAGGTGGCTGTCACAGGATGGTTGCTGGAAGATGGCTAACACCAAGGGGATGAAATCAAGTGGCTGGCACCAAGGTATTGACATAAGGTGGCTGGCACCAAGGGGTTGACATCAGGTGGCTAAAACCAAGGGGATGACATCAGATGGCTGGCACCAGGTGGTGGCTGGCAGATGGCTAACACTGAGGGGCTGACATCAAGTGGCTGACACCAAGGGGATGACAACAGATGGCTGACACCAAGGGGATGACATCAGGTAGCCGGCACCAAGTGGTTGACTTTAAGTGGCTGGTACCAAGGGGTTGATATCAGGTGGCTGGCAGCAAATGATGAAGTGACTGTTGTGGAGACCATCTCACATATATTCACAAAGAAATACTGTTCTGTTGTTCTGCAACCTTGGTCAAGTTCTGTTGTTCTGCAACCTTGGTCAAGTTCTGTTGTTCTACAACCTTAGTCAAGTTCTGTTGTTCTGCAACCTTGGTCAAGTTCTGTTGTTCTGCAACCTTGGTCAACTTCTGTTGTTCTGAAACCTTGGTCAACTTCTAGCAAGTTCAGTCTGTATTTATCTCTCTGCTTCTGAATATTGATCTTTAACGGACTGTGTACATTATGATTTTCACAGCTGAAGAGTTCCGGGGTAGCTTGTCTGACTCTCCTAACATACAGAAACAAATCCTCCCAGCCTCAAGGTCAGACAACCTAACACAGCTGTAGCCAATCAGACTTCAAACATAGGGCAAGAAAGACAACGATGGAGTTTGCAGCAGTAGGACGTGCAACATTTAAAATGATGAAACTGAAGTGTTGTTTGACAATAATTAATGACAATTTACATCCCTTAATTACTGATAACAATGTTAATTCATGTAAGTGTATTACATCTGTATTCATGGCTGTCATCATTCTACACATACTGTTGTCAGATTACCGGTCAACTTGGCAACATTTCTGGCATTTTTTTGAACAAGCGAAATAAAATGTTTTAAAGACATAAGTTGCTTCATTCATTGATTCTAGTGCCAGGTTCAGATAGGAATTGCCTGTTGATCTGGGAGGACGTCCCTAAGTCTCTGAAGTCGATCTTTGTCTTCATCTGTAAGGCTCAGACGTTGTTCTGCTCTGTTCATGTCACCATCCCATGGTGCTGAATCATCATTTGGGTCATAAGCGTAGGCATGATTCTGGAGCTGAGGTGCCGTTTGAGGAACTATGTTATCGTAGGTCTCCACTTCAGGACTCCCAGCAACTGTGCTGTTCAGTCGCCAGGGATCTGGACTCACACCTTCTCTACCTGGAGGGTTGTCAAGAGATTGGGTACGGGCATTATCTTGCAGAAATGCGTGACTCCTGTTCACAATTTTGCTGTAATTTGGACTCTCCTCACTCTGGTGCTTGCGGATTCCTAGCCTTGTAGGACCTGACTGTCGTATCAATCCAAGACCACGATCTTCATGGCTGGCTTGTCCTGAGGGAGCACTGACGCTACTGAATGAACTATTTACCAGGTTCTCCTGGGACAGACATAAATCATCTTCACTAATATACAAATCCAACTGAAGGTTGTTAGCTGGTGCCTCAGGGGTATCTTCCTCATCACTCTCTGACAATACATCTGATGACATGCCATTCATCTTAGGTTTTGGAAATGTATTAGAATGGGATAACTTAGACAAGTGCCGCAGGAGTCGGCTGTGCTCTGAATTATCATCTGTATTGCCATGAATGTCATAAGAGCCTTGTCGTTTGCCTCCCAAGGGTAAATATCTAGAGAGATCTTTGTCACTTTTGGACTCAAATGGACGTTGGGACTGGACAGAGGAGCTCACTGGTGAATGCTTTTTCTGGTTTTGTATAAGAGGTTGTACAGCAGTATCATGTTCAGTCAGGGACAAAACATCCTGAAATGGCTGCGGTGAATCTTTAGATGGAGAATTCAGAGATGCTGCCGATGGCTGAGATAAGGATGTTGAGAATCCCACTGGTATGGATCTTGTCTCGCTGAAACGATGATAGAGAGGCAACGATGGGGGAGGATCTGATACCTGCACTGGTTGCGGCAAAGAAACATCCACCGGGGATGAAACTTCATTGCTCATGTTAAAGATGTCAGCAGTGGGACTTGTATCTGCTTGTGGGTTTTTATTTTCACCCACTTCCTTCTCAGATGGTACTTTGATCTCACTGGCTTTCACTTCCTTGTCCTGGTGTAAATCTCTACCTTCAAGAAAACGAGAAATTTCTGCACTTTTAAAATTATCATAAACAGATGAGGCGGCCAGACGACCTCTGGGTTCATTTCCATTTGGGTTAGTTTTCATTTCTGAGTGCACCAACTGTTGAGGGGATTCTCCTATGTGTCCCTTCGGGGACAGAGAAGCTGGAGGTGGTGATGAATCCTGCAACATCATTGGACCTGGCTGCTTGGCTGCCATGTTTGATGGCAACATTTGGCTTCTAATCACTGACTCACGCTGAAAGTAAACAGATAAACAGTCATTTTGCCATTCATTCAGTCTCTCCACGTAAGTGTGCAACCTGGCTTAGGTCACGTTTATTCAATCACTCATATTCAGTGTTTCATTCAATCCTTCACATTCAATGTATTATTTAATCCCTCACATTCAATATATCATTCAATCCCTCACATTCAATGTGTCATACAATCACTCACATTCAATACGTCATTCAGTCAGTCACAGATAGTCACTTGATACTTGACACAGACCACTTTCATTCATGCACTCACTAACTGAGTTCATCCAGCTGCAGTACCTAATCTACCTGTTTGCGTCTGACAAGACAGAAAGTACAGACTAGAGAGTCCCACAACTATGGAGGCACAACTATGGAGGCACAAGTACAGGCTAGAGAGTCCCACAACTATGGAGACATAAGTACAGGCTAGAGAGTCCCACAACTATGGAGACACAAGTACAGGCTAGAGAGTTCCACAACTATGGAGACATAAGTACAGGCTAGAGAGTTCCACAACTATGGAGACATAAGTACAGGCTAGAGAGTCCCACAACTATGGAGACATAAGTACAGGCTAGAGAGTCCCACAACTATGGAGGTAGAAGTACGGGCTAGAGAGTCCCACAACTATCGAGGTAGAAGTACAGGCTAGAGAGTCCCACAACTATGGAGACATAAGTACAGGCTAGAGAGTCCCACAACTATGGAGACACAAGTACAGGCTAGAGAGTTCCACAACTATGGAGACACAAGTACAGGCTAGAGAGTTCCACAACTATGGAGACACAAGTACAGGCTAGAGAGTTCCACAACTATGGAGACACAAGTACAGGCTAGAGAGTCCCACAACTATGGAGGTAGAAGTACAGGCTAGAGAGTCCCACAACTATGGAGACATAAGTACAGGCTAGAGAGTCCCACAACTATGGAGACATAAGTACAGGCTAGAGAGTCCCACAACTATGGAGACATAAGTACAGGCTAGAGAGTCCCACAACTATGGAGACACAAGTACAGGCTAGAGAGTTCCACAACTATGGAGACACAAGTACAGGCTAGAGAGTCCCACAACTATGGAGGTAGAAGTACAGGCTAGAGAGTCCCACAACTATGGAGACATAAGTACAGGCTAGAGAGTCCCACAACTATGGAGACATAAGTACAGGCTAGAGAGTCCCACAACTATGGAGACATAAGTACAGGCTAGAGAGTTCCACAACTATGGAGGCACAAGTACAGGCTAGAGAGTTCCACAACTATGGAGACATAAGTACAGGCTAGAGAGTCCCACAACTATGGAGACATAAGTACAGGCTAGGGACTCCCACAACTATGGAGACATAAGTACAGGCTAGGGACTCCCACAACTATGGAGACACAAGTGCAGGCTAGGGACTCCCACAACTATGGAGACACAAGTACAGGCTAGAGAGTCCCACAACTATGGAGGTAGAAGTACAGGCTAGAGAGTCCCACAACTATGGAGACATAAGTACAGGCTAGAGAGTCCCACAACTATGGAGACACAAGTACAGGCTAGAGAGTTCCACAACTATGGAGACACAAGTACAGGCTAGAGAGTTCCACAACTATGGAGACACAAGTACAGGCTAGAGAGTTCCACAACTATGGAGACACAAGTACAGGCTAGAGAGTTCCACAACTATGGAGACACAAGTACAGGCTAGAGAGTTCCACAACTATGGAGACACAAGTACAGGCTAGAGAGTTCCACAACTATGGAGGCAGAAGTACAGGCTAGAGAGTCACACAACTATGGAGGCAGAAGTACAGGCTAGAGAGTTCCACAACTATGGAGACATAAGTACAGGCTAGGGACTCTCACAACTATGGAGACATAAGTACAGGCTAGGGACTCCCACAACTATGGAGACATAAGTACAGGCTAGAGAGTTCCACAACTATGGAGGCACAAATATTCTCTAGAGGACAGCGCTGTAATTTACATAGATGGGTCTGTTGCTCGACATGAGAGAAACAAGTGGGCCTTTACAGCTCTAGTTGGAGGGACAATTGTGAACCAATATTCTGGTACAAACAGTCTAACCATAGAGGCCACAGCAATGATCAAAGCAATAACATGGCTGGAGACACAGATTTTCTCCAGCGCATGCTTTCTTTAAATATGCTTAGAAAGATGGAGATGGGCTGGGTTAGAATACAGGTTTGGTGTCTCTTAAACGGTCTAGGCAAATTTTTATTCATTTTCGTGGAGAGGAGGCAGCTATGCAAGGAAATGAGCAGGCTGATAGGCTTGCAGGTAAGGCTATTGTCAAGAATGGATGAGCCAAGGACCAGGCTGATAGGCTTGCAGGTAAGGCTATTGTCAAGAATGGATGAGCCAAGGGCTAGGCTGATAGGCTTGCAGGTAAGGCTATTGTCAAGAGTGGATGAGCCAAGGACCAGGCTGATAGGCTTGCAGGTAAGGCTATTGTCAAGAGTGGATGAGCCAAGGACCAGGCTGATAGGCTTGCAGGTAAGGCTACTGTCAAGAATGGATGAACCAAGGACCAGGCTGATAGGCTTGCAGGTAAGGCTATTGTCAAGAATGGATGAACCAAGGACCAGGCTGATATGGACCAGGCTGACAGCAAGTTAAAACGGGTGTGGTCAGACAAGAGGACTATGCAGGAAGCCAAAGAAGAATAAGAAACCAACATGAAACTGGTGTTGCAGAATTGACTGAAGAATGGAACTGAGCACTTATGGATTAAATGGTTCAATGCACAACTAGGATAATCTGTCCATTAACTATCTACTTGAGGTGTAACACTACCTCTTTGCATTGCTAGCATTATTATTTTCCCTTAATCTTAAATTAAGAGTTATGCTCACAGCTTGGGCACAAGGAGGCATGATTACATCCCAGCTGGGGCACAAGGGGGCATGATGACATCACAGCTGTGGCACAAGAGGCATAATGACATCCCAGCTGGGGCACAATAGGGCATGATGGCATCACAGCTGGGGCACAATGGCATCACAGCTGGGGCATGATGGCATCACAGCTGGGGCATGATGGCATCACAGCTGGGGCATGATGGCATCACAGCTGGGGCACAATGGCATCACAGCTGGGGCACAATGGCATCCCAGCTGGGGCATGATGGCATCAAAGCTGGGGCACAATGGCATCACAGCTGGGGCATGATGGAAACAAAGCTGGGGTATGATGGCATCACAGCTGGGGCACAATGGCATCACAGCTGGGGCACAATGGCATCACAGCTGGGGCATGATGGCATCAAAGCTGGGGCACAATGGCATCACAGCTGGGGCATGATGGCATCAAAGCTGGGGCATGATGGCATCACAGCTGGGGCACAATGGCATCACAGCTGGGGCACGATGGGGCATGATGGCATCACAGCTGGGGCACAATGAGGCATGATGGCATCACAGCTGGGACACAATGGCCCATGATAGCTGAGTTATAAATTATGAGTTAGTTTATCTTCACAGCACTCGAGACACAACCATAAGTCCCCCGTGTGGGTTCCGGGGCCCCATTGTGGGAAAAACAAGAATAGACCCACTGCCTCCCCAAAAGCATGTCGTAAGAGTCGACTAATTGGGGAGCTTCCTTTGAAGTTGGAGTGCATCTGCCGGAGAGGCAAGGAACCAACAGTCTGTATTCAGGAGAATGAGATCTATAAAACTGATGCACATGCAACACTCAGATTCTGGAGCAGGACTGCAGTTCAGTAGTGGACGAGCAACCAGAACTTTCCGCCAGAGTGTACAGCTGGTGAACGCGAAGAAGAAGAAGAGAACCATAAGTGCCCAGATTCTCCTTTCAACATAACCATCAGCGTCACACAGTTAATAGTACCAGTCTTATGCTGGTTGACAAGACTTTGTGTGCGTCTGGTGTGCTTCTCATGCTTGGCTGTGCCGATCATTACTCCCAGTTCTTGTATTCTTAGCAGTGATGTGGACATGTTGCTTCTAAAATCCTCGGAACGTCCTATCTCTCTAAGGGCATTGATAATATCTGCCATCTTCAATTAATATGGCACCTGCCAGTCTAATGGCACTTTCATTACCAACAATACCTGCATGCATTGAATGAAGGTAACTGCCCACACAAGAGTCTTGCAATGACTCAAAGCTCTGTCTGCGTAACCAGCCTGCCTCGACCTACTGGACCATGTGCAAAGAATCACTCAGCACACACATGCGAGAATAGTCCTGTGATTCTAGTGACATGAAAATGGGCTTTGGTAGTATCACAGCTGGTGCACAATGGGCCATAGCAGAACCACAGCTGGTGCACAATGAGCCATAGCAGAACCATAGCTGGTGCACAAAGGGCCATAGCAGAACCACAGCTGGTGCACAATGAGCCATAGCAGAACCATAGCTGGTGCACAAAGCGCCATAGCAGAATCACAGCTGGTGCACAATGAGCCATAGCAGAATCACAGCTGGTGCACAATGTGCCCCAGAAGCACTATGGATGGTGCATGATGAGTCACAATACTTTCCTAACCTGTGCACAATGAGCAGTGGAAAGAAGAGGATGTATAAGTAAGCGATAAGTCTAATTTACCTTATTTGTGGTGGGCTGGGACATATTTCTGCCTTCTACGCTGATGGCTGCTGGTCGATTCTCAACAACCAGCTTGGCATGTCGTCGTTTACGCCGCTGCTCATATCGTTGTCTTGCTTTTCTGAGAGTCAACATGAAAATTATGCCTTTAAACATATGATCATATATTAACCAGTGTGAGGGAAAGACAGATAGATGTTTAGAGTTGAGTGAGTGAGTTTCAACCACTCCAGGACATCCACCAAGTGATAAACACCCACTGACACAAAGTGCCATCATGCAGATGAGGATCACCTGGGGAGAGGTTCCAGAAACCCTGCTCAACCCATAAGTTTGGTTACATTAGGGCCCTGGTAATAACTGGGGTGGGGCTTTAAAACAACAACAAAATTTTGTCTGACACTAGGGGTGCAGTAAGATGTC